AAACTAAGTCTGTTTTGAGAAATCTGTTAAGAAATCCAGTGATGTCAGCAACAATGAAAAAACAATGGAAGAGATTGCCTAGTAATACCGAAGCAGGAAATCAAGTTTTCCTTGTGAATTTTTAGGAAGCATATTGGATTTTAACTTCCTTAAGTATTATAGATCTATTTTAGATCTTGATCCCATTCTTTATTATGCTCAAGCATAACAATTGTTAAGAAACTGGATTTTGTTAATTTTTCTGTTTAATATGAAAATGATTAATTTTTTTCCTCTCTCTCCCCAATAGGTTACAATAGTGATAAAGTATTTTTTCCAGTTTGGATTCTTCCCTTGGAATAAACAGTTAGAACTAAAAAAAGATAGACCTTATTTTGCTCCTAATATTATTGGCATTGAGAAGAAAGAGGGTTATGTGCACTACGACCTTGTTCAACTACTTGCTTTGTTTTTCCATCGGTCCATTTTAAAGGTATATTTTTGTTTGTTATTTTGTTTTGGAGACAGAATAGTAAAACTGTCAGCATGTATATCTTCCAGCATACTTGACTTCCATTCTTTTTGTTTTTAGTAAAATAGTGCTCCACTAAACCAAAAAAGAATAACTTACTTCATGCTTGATTAAAAAGGCATGAAGGTACCTATTTCCTTTTATTGGAAAGCTGCTCTATGCAAGAGTTCTTGAATCACTCAGAAGTTTCATGCTCAGTTTATATCTGAATCTCTCAGTCTCAGTGCTGAGTCTACGGAAAGGGTCTATATAAACTCTTTCTCTCTAATTTTCATAGTTAAGTCCTTTGCCTTTCTCAATTGCTACAGAAATCTCTGAAGATAGGCATTTTACTCTCTCCCAGTGTGGTAAAAAGAAGCTCTATCAGGTTGGGCAAGAAGAATGTGTCCTTCAGAGAAAAATATTTGTACATGTGTCTTTGTGTGCATATGGTACATATATGAATGAGTGTGCAGAAATGTGTGAGGACAGCAGATCCTTGAGGCCAGGGAAAAGTCAAACTTCAGTCACCTAGTAATCATCTAACCCTTCTCTAAAGGTCATGGCACATCATTTCAACTATAATCATCCCACATACATTGAAATCCAGGAAAATTAAACAGCATTTCTGAAAATAAAAACTGATTATAGCACAGAAGTTATTAAAATTCATATTGTAATAATGTTATCAGAGGTTAGATGACAAGACTAAAGCCAAAGATTTGTATAAAGAGAAACAATATCCAAAACACTCAATATCTAACTATAACAAATAATACCAGTAACTCTGAAGATACCTTCATGTTGTTCTTTTTAGTGTCATGGATTATGGGATGAGGAAGATGGAGGAGACACTGGGAGTAGTAAAGATGACTCAGATGATGAGTTGCCTGAATCATACAGAAGAGGTTCCGCTGACTCTTTGACGACAGTCAATTTGGCAGCATCTATTGAATCCATACATGTCCATTTCCCAGAACAGCAAACCGCCATCCGCAGGAAAAGTTCAAGCAGTGGCTCACATTTATCACACAGATCCAGCTTCTCCTCTCACCGTTCAAAGCGAGGTATGACTGGTGGCATCAGGACTCTAAACTGGTCTGTTTTGTATTTGCGCAAGCTTTTCTTTCAAGAAAAAAAGTAGCAAAGAATAACCATTAAATGATAGGCAACAATGGCCCTTATATTAAAGAAAGCTAAGCTTAGATAGTTATTACAATATGTTGACCTATTATTTTCTTTGAAGAACTATCTTCTCCCTAGAAACCTGAAATTATTATAGGCAAATAATAAAAACATTGGAATGTTAGAAGGCAAAAAGGATATTTCTTGTTAAGAATATATTTTATTAGCTTTAATTTATGATGTAGCATTTTTATTTTTCAGGTATTTGTTGTGTTTTAAAATTCATAAGATGCCTGAGTTATATCTTAAAAGATAATCTAGGAATTTTAACGTTAATGCAGAACTTCCTACCTTAAAATAAGTTTTATCTCCCTGACAATGTTTTTAAAGAACATTATGCTATAAAATTATGTATATAAATTTACAGTTTTATGTTTTATATATTAATCTAAATGTATAGAAGAGAGCCAGTTTGGTATAGTGATTAAAGCACTACACGAATCCAGATGACTGTGAATTCTAGTCCCCTTTTAGGCATAAAAAATCTGTGGGTGACTTTGGGTATGTCTCTCAACCTAACCCGCCTCACAGGGTTGTTGTTGGGATGTAAAAGGAGGAGGAAGGAATATTAGGTATATTTGCCGCCTTGAGTTATCTAAAAAAAGTCAGTTTGAAATAACATGAAATAACTTTAGAACTACAATGTGAAGCCCTCGTGCTCTCTGAGCTTGGTTGTTATTTGCCAACATTTCATTATCCAATCAAGTCACATCTAATAGCAATAGCAATAGCACTTAGACTTATATAAGTGATGGCGAACCTTTTCGGCACCGAGTGCCCAAACTGGAATGCGCACATGTGCATGCATGCACACGCCGGAGCACTGGAAACCCAAAGACCAGCTTGCCGGCACGCACATGCACTCCGGCCAGTTCGTCTTCAGGTTTCCGGCGCTGTGGCTTGCACGAAGACCAGTTGGCCGGCATGCATGCGCGCACTGGAAATCAAAACAGCAGCTGGCGATAGTGTGAGTGTCCACAGAGAGGGCTTTGTGCCACCACTGGCACGCGTGCCATAGGTTCACCATCATTTAATATTGCTCCGTAGTGCTTTACAGCACACTCTGGACAGTTTACAAAGTCAGCATCTTGCCTCCAACAATCTGGCTCCTCATTTTACTGACCTCAGAAGACTGAGTCAACCTTGAACCCTATCCGGCTCAAATTCCAAACTAGGGCAGAGTTAGCCTGCAATACTGCATTCTAATCACTGCGCCACCAGTGGTTTAATTTTAGAATTTAAAGTTTTCCATTCCCTAGTTGCTGAATAATGTGAATGAAAGGTGGATTTTCAAGACAGAAGAATGCATCAGCATGTTTTTGCCTTTTTGGTTTTCACTACAAGTTAAAATGATCCCAAGCACAGAAGTAATAACCTGAGAGAGATTTTCTGTTTGGTTTGTTCGATAAAAAGGAATTCATCTTTTGTTTCACATTTTGATTCTTGCTTTTTCTTATTAATTGTAGTTTAAAGGAATCTATTTTTTCCAAGTGTGAAAAAAGAAAAAGGATATGCAGACCCAGATTTTTTTTTCCTTTTCTTTTGAGCTTTCCCTTAGAAGTGCAATAATTCTTTCTCCACTTGTATTTTCAGGAAGTACCAGCACACGCAACAGTAGTCAAAAAGGAAGCAGTGTGTCGAGCATAAAAAGGAAGTCAAGGAAAGAGCTTCTGATGGAAAAACTGAGAGAACAATTTATCATCGCAAAGGCATTTACAATTAAAAAGTGAGTAATTACACATATTAGATTTATTGAAATAAATGCTGAATCCAGAACATGTTTAAAATGTTCTAGGATTGAGGAAAGGGCCAGAAAGAAATCTGTATCCATTTTATGACACTAATGAACTCCAGCCCATCACTGATTGCTAAGCCAGACCTATATGCTTGATTGCCATATAGCAAGAAAAGTTTTCAGGAAAATGGGAAACAGATTTTTCCATTCAGTGTATTAGGGACACATTCCAATACTAAATCACTTAAGACTTCAATTACCTTAATTCCTTCCTTCTTTTCTTCTTTCCTCCCTCCCTTCTTTCCTTCCAGCAGTAAATACAAACAGTCCACCACCGAACAGTCCACCACTTTTATTTTAAGGTCATCTTGTTTCTAACAACATTAATAAATCATTTTCTGCATATGTGAAGAATCTATCAGGCATCCATAGGGATATCAAGCTTCTAACATCCCTCTTCCATATCAAGGCTTGAAGTTCTTTGCTTGCTTTAAATTATATGTGCTGGAAAAAATGAAATATCTTAAAACAAAGGCAGCTAATCTGTTACTTGATAATTTAGATATCTGAAGATACAACTCCCATGGCAATTTTAATCTGAAACATTTTGAAAGGAGCCCTACTTTTTTCTTGTTACAGGCAGTTATCATTTAGTGACTACAATTGGGATTGGCAATTCCATTGCTAAGTGAAGCTTAGTGGGAAATCATGCCACTACAACTGTGCTTTCTTACTTGAAACTAATCAATTTCACACTTTTTGCTTTTGTTTGCTTCCTCCTCCTCCTCTATTCTTTGGAATGCCTACTCCTGCACAGGTATAATTAACAAAATGGGAAATAATGTTTGCATTTACATTAATTGGAGAAGAGGAGATTACAAGAGGGTAAGCAGGAACAGAGTGAGAAATACGCTTTTAAAAAATATGCTGGACTCCAGCAGCCACCAGCACACTATACAAGCAGCCTGGTAAATTCCCCATTATTTGGCTGCTTACTTTCTTGTAATCCCTTCCTCTCCAATGTCTGCTTTGCAAGGGAAAAAGTCAGGAACAAGTCAACACTTACTGACTGTAACGGTAATCATGTGACTCCGAAGATTGTAAATGATTGTAAACTTTGAACGGTTGCTGAATGAATGGTTAATAAGTGAGGATTATCTGTATATTGATTAGGATCAGGTCAATAGAGAAATATTTAAGCCCACCTTTGCATGTTTTTACTAAAATGAATTCTGTTATATAGTTGCGTCTACTGTTGGAGACAGGAATAGATCAAGAGTGAAGACAATCAAGCCATATTGCGCTTCATATAGTATCTGTGGGGCAACAAATGAAATTCTAAGCATGTGCACTTTCCCACAAAATTACTTTGTAACAATGAGAGTGACTTTTGTATTATTTCAGGGCACTTCAAATATATCTACCCATCAGACAATTTTTCTACAATCTTATCCACCCGGAATACAGTGCTGTGACAGATGTTTATGTCCTGATGTTCCTAGCTGATACTGTGGACTTCATTATCATTGTCTTTGGATTCTGGGCTTTTGGGGTATGTTAATAAGAATTGATATGCTTGAGTAAATGTAGTTATTTTTATAACTATTATTTTTATAAGAAATAATTTTGCTTCCTCTGTTTCCTTTCTATTTTCTTCGCAGAAACATTCCGCAGCAGCAGATATTACTTCTTCATTATCCGAAGACCAAGTCCCAGAGGCCTTCTTAGTGATGGTACTAATTCAGTTTGGAACCATGGTAGTAGATCGGGCACTGTACCTGAAAAAGACAGTCATGGGGAAAGTCATCTTTCAGGTTATCCTTGTTTTCGGCATACACTTTTGGATGTTCTTTATCTTGCCCATTGTGACAGACAGGTAAACGCATTGCATTTAAATGATTTTATTTGTTACTTTGATTATTTATTACTTTTTTAAAAAGTGACCTGTTCATCTGCATAATGATAGAATTCATCTCTTATGAATGATTGAATTGAACAAATGAAAAAGGTAATAGATGTGAAAAGAAATGAGTTAGCTTTACCACATTTAAATAATATAAAAAGTATTCATTCTATGGAAAGCATATAAAAATGCATTTGTTTTCTTGATGTGTGTTTTGTGTTATAGGAAATTCAGTCAAAACATAGTTGCCCAGCTTTGGTATTTTGTGAAATGTGTTTATTTTGGATTATCGGCATATCAGATACGTTGTGGCTATCCAACCCGTGTACTTGGCAATTTCCTCACAAAAAGTTATAATTACGTAAATCTGTTTTTATTCCAAGGGTAAGTCTGTGAGTCTGGTATAATATGTCTTTTTATCTTTACAGTTCCGGTTTTTTATTTATGCTTTCTTACTATTTATAGATTGCACTTCACCAAGATTGACTCATAATAAAGTCATATTATCATGCCACCTTAATGTTTTCTTTAATTTGGAAATGCTAAATTATTTGGTTAATATGAATTAGATGGATACCATTAAATTTACGTTTGATCATGAAATCAATTTTAATTCATAAATGGACCAATTATAACCCTTGTCTATATACATTTTATTTATTATTTATTTATTATCAGATTTATATACTGCCCTTCTCTCGAAGGACTCAGGGCGGTGCACAGCCAAAGTAAAAACATAAATACAAACATTAAAATACAGTTAAAAAGATATATATGCGTTTGTCCCCATAGTTAAAAAAACAATAACAAACCTATTAAAACATTTTAAAAAGTGTTAAGCCAGCCCGGCTTGCTGAAAAAGAAAGGTCTTAAGGGCACGGCGGAAGGTACCGAGGTCTTGGATTCTTCGTATCTCTGGGGGCAGCTGATTCCAGAGGGCACATGCCCCCACAGAAAAGGCCCTCCCCCTGGGGGCCACCAGTCTACATTGCTTGGCCAATGGCACCCTGAGGAGGCCCTCTCTGTGGGAGTGCACAGGTCGGTGGGAGGCCATTGGTAGCAGCAGGTGGTCTCGAAGATATCCAGGTCCTATGCCATGGAGCGCTTTAAAGGTGATAACCAACACCTTGAAGCGCACCCAGAAGACCACCGGAAGCCAGTGCAGCTCACGCAAGAGAGGTGTTATGTGGGAGCACCATGCTGCTCCTGTAACTACCCGCGTGGCCGCATTCTGGACCAGTTGGAGCCTCCGGGTGCTCTTCAAGGGGAGCCCCATGAAGAGAGCATTGCCGTAGTCCAGGCTAGAGGTGACGAGGGCATGAGTGGCTGTGCACAAGGAATCCCGATCTAGGAAGGGCCGCAACTGGCGGATCAGGCGAACCTGATAAAAAGTCCCCCTGGCTACAGCCGTCAGATGTTCCTCCAAGGACAGCTGCATATCCAGGAGGACGCCCAAATTGCGAGCATGGGGGCCAAAGAGTCGCCCCCAATAGTCAGTGATGGTGTCAACTGACTATATCGGGATGCCGGAAACCACAGCCACTCAGTCTTGGATGGGTTGAGCCTGAGCCTGTTCCTCCCCATCCAGATCCGCACGGCCTCCAGGCACCGGGACATCATTTCAAGGGCATCATTGGGGTGGCCCGGGGTGGAGATGTACAGCTGGGTGTTATCAGCGTACTGGTAGTATTTCACCCCGAAGCCACGGATGATCTCACCCAGGGGCTTCACATAGATGTTGAACAAAAGGGGCGAGAGGACCGACCCGAGGCACCCCACATATGAGGCGTCTCGAGGTCGACCTCTGCCCCCCTGACATCTACCCAGAAGTAAAAAAGGAAACTTTTTTGGACAAAATCTTCTCATTTCTTGTACGAGGGAAGAGAAAATAGGGGCATCATACTCTTCTTGTACAGAAGGTTTTAGAAAATTATCATAGACAAATGGAACATTTTAGCTAGTCTTCATCCTGGAACATAAATGATGTTAGAATTAAATCATAGGTCATCCTATATCTACATAAAACAGTTCTAAATGTTTAAATAAATCTATCTCCTTTTTTTCTGGAGGATTATGTTTTTATTGCAGTAAATTAGGAAAATAATGCTTTTAAAAGTAATGCAATCGGGAGGTTTTCTGGAAGCCATAAAATGGAGGGCATGGACTGCAAGAAAGTCACAAAATGTAAGGCATGGACTGCATTTGACTAATGCAATGAAAACCACAGAATATGCCAAGCTAAAACTTATTTTTCTTCTTTGGTAGGTTCCGCCTAGTCCCTTTCTTGACTGAATTGAGGGCAGTTATGGACTGGGTTTGGACAGATACCACATTAAGTCTTTCCAGTTGGATCTGTGTTGAAGATATTTATGCTCATATATTCATTTTAAAGTGCTGGCGAGAGTCAGAAAAAGTAAGAAATTTCTTCGTTTATTTTTTTTGCAACCTTATAATCAGCAAAAAGTTCACCTTGTACAGTCTCAAAGGGAAATGTGATCATATTTCCCATATTTCCATATTAGATTAATAGTATTTCAAACTTTCTAGAATTGGTGGGCAATATTAATCTCATTTTTTACTTCCATTAACAGGGACTTGTTTCTGTGTATTTCTGTATCTGTTTATTTCTGTGTATTTCTATATACTTGTATGCAGGTTCAAGAGCGTAGAAAAAAAATCATTCTTTTAAAAAAGCAGAACTGATAGAATACAAAAATATTTATTATATGCAATCAATATGTAATTAATATGTAATTGTCCAAAGAAAACTTCAGCTTTATTTAGTCCATGAGAAAAGAGCTTATAACTGAAATCAAGCCTATTCAACATAACTTCATAACTTTCTCAGAAATAATTTCTGGATGCACCACTGTGGTACCAAGTAAGAGTGTTTTAGAACCTTTGAAAGTGAGACATTCCCCTGGAAGACCAGGATAAAAATCAGAGCTAAAACTACTAGGGCTTTGTATGTAGCACTTCGATTCTGTTGGGCTTTTTAATTAACAATTTTAATTTTTTTTTCCATTAAGAAAGCAGTATATACTGTAGTGCATAAGTGTAGGTTAGGATGACATCCAGGCTGCTAGGCTATGGGTTACAGAATAGATACATTAAAAGTGCACCTATTATTGCTACAACCTGTAGCATTAATTTGAGCAGAAGTTTAATTTTCCTCAGTAACTGTCCATTAATACAACTACATACAATCAGTTATTTGAAGGAAAAATAAGAATTAGATCTTTCAGTTCCTACAATTTTCTATCATTCCTATGGATCTGAAATCTGTAGCTACTATGAAATAATGCTTTTCATTGGAATGTTGTTTAGAAAAGCTATTTAGTCTAAATTCACATTTTTCTAACCACCATAGTATGAAAAAAATATTATTTTTCATACTTTGTTTAATTTACTTTTCCAAAGTTTCAAACAAGCTTTTTCATCCACTTCCGAACTCTGCTAACGATGATGATGGACAGCATATACAATCAAATTCCAGAGGTTATATACATGTTGAGCCCCTGAATTACAAGACCTTTATAAGAATTCTGATATAGGACTCCTTTGGCAGTTTCTACAAAACAGCATTTTGCAATATAAGCTTTATGGGTCTGAGCTCTCTTTGTTAGCTGACCCCAGACACTAAGATTCACTGCTTGAATTGCAGTGTTGCTGTTATGGCAGATCTTGCATGAAGAATTAAGAAATATACTTTGCTACCTCTAGCTTATGAAATCAGTTACAGCCTACCTGGGAATGCGGATTTCATTGTCAGTGTCTGCTTGCGATTCTAAAGTTTTATTGGGAAAAAAAATTAGACCATGTGGTTTTAGACAATGACATTTACTATTGAATTTACTGTTCCTGTGCAAGATGCTGGACTATTTGCCCGCTGTGTCTCAGATATAGTCATTTGGATAATACTAATTATTTAGTGTGGTCTGACAAGAAACTACGGAGTTCCAATCTAATAAGGATGCCACATATGAACACAGATTAAAGTTCAAATACATGGAAAATGTAATTTAAACAATTATTTATTTTATTTATTTATTTATTATATTTCTATACCGCCTTTCTCCCGTAGGACTCAAGGCGGTGTACAGTCAAGAAAAATATAGACACACAAACATCATAAAATTGCTAATTAAAATTATTACTTAGTTTGGTCAATTAAAAAAAACCAATAAATTAATAAATCAATTAATTAAATTAATTAATGGGTTTTATCTCTTTTCAGAGGAAAGAAAAACACATGCATTTATTTGCTTATTTGCTTTTTCTCTCTTTTTGCAGCGATATCCCCAACCAAGGGGCCAGAAGAAAAAGAAAGTTGTGAAGTATGGAATGGGTGGCATGATTATTGTCTTGCTGATATGCATAGTGTGGTTCCCGCTGCTCTTCATGTCTCTAATTAAATCTGTTGCAGGTGTCACAAATAAGCCTCTTGATGTATCCATCACAATAACTTTAGGAGGTTACCAGGTACAACTTGTTAAAATGTCATGTGTTGTTTTCTTTCATATGCTAACATTTATTATAGACTTAAATTTCAGCAAAAGAAAGCATTGGTGTATATTTACTGAAAGGTATCCATCCAAAGATGTCTACAGCAACTTTTATGTTATTTTCCAGCCTATTTTTACAATGAGTGCCCAGCAAAGTCAACTAAAAAATATGACAAATAAACAATATAAAGACTTCCAAAAAGCATTTAAGGATACAGTAAGTATTTCTTTAATAGTACTATAAAAATAATATCACTAATGGCAAGCAATTGTGGAAGCATTAAATATTCTTCAAAATAGCAGTGTGACTGTTATTTATTTAATATTCCATTTGTACTGACATTCTGAGTGTATCCATGAATTCATCTGT